CGAGTTTCACAGTGAAAGAACGTCGGTTAGAGAGTGTTCGGGCAAGTTGGCAAATTGCCAGGGACGGCAAATTGGCAACTTGCCAGAGACGCAATGTGTTGTCTGCAATAGCATGCAACACATTGCGTCCCTGGCAATTTGCCAATTTGCAATTCAGGGTGGGTCCTGGCGCGATTACATGACACTGTGTCGTCTCGACACTCGTCTAACGTGACACCGATCAAGGGGCGGAGGGCGACCGTGGATATCTGTCCGGCCCCTGATTGTGCCCTATTCAGCCGTTTTCCGACCTCATTCCTGCACAAATGGTATCAGAGGGGGCGCCGAATTCAAACTATGTGCAAATGTCCGAAACAATGTTTTTGTTAACAGTGCCTTTAAATACTGCTGACCTACCGACAACAGAGTTCCAGCTTCGATTAGGGACTTGTAGAAGGACTCTTCCCTCTGCACTGCAAGGCTATTATCGGTACTTGGATCCATGCCTCACTTTATCTGAAAGTTCAGATTAGTTGTTAAGCACAAATCCTTGTCAGTACGAGGGCTGCGAATAATGTAAATGAGGAGATGGGAAAGCAATGTAATACGTGAAGCTTGTCATCTTGAATACAGGGACCACTGTCACATCAGGGTTAGAGGGAGTTTTCAAATGCGACAGTGTGGTTCAAGTGAAATCTGGCTCAAAGGCATAGTTCACGATAATTTTAAAACCTTTTTATGTGGAAAAGCGGAAGTAATGATATAGAGGGATTGGCGGCGAAGAAAGTGAGCAAATCCGCCTACTTCAAAACTTTCTAAAAGTAGCGGAGTTCAGGTTGTACGAGATCACCGTGACGGGAATGGCATGTAAACATATTTGGAGGAGATTTAACTGGCTCCCATTGCGCAGTGAGGTGACTACATCAAGCCAAAATTGTCCGAAATTGCGTTTCACTTCGCCATGGGTTATGACAAGTTAGAACTTCCTACATGGGAGTCCCTTGAGCCGCCGGGACGCTTGTGAAAGTCGTCCACTGTGGGTGTGGCATTCACACGATACAATCTCTAGCTCTTTATTGTGCTCTAACCATGAAGTCTTTCGAGCTTACGGCAAATGTGGTATGAAGGGAAGCCTCGAATTCATACTATAGGGAAATCTGAACCATTTTCACCACCAGGAACCATTTTTGTCGTGAAATGCGCCTGTAGGAGATGTAAATAGGAGACTTACAGTACGACAAACGGGTGAGACGGTTAGGACTGACTGCTTGCGTTGATCGGGCATTATTTCCATGAAATTCTCTTTTCGGCAGGAAAAAACAATCAAAATCAATTTCCTATAAAAGCTCCGCATGCCGGAAGATCCAACAACAGACAAATTAATTGGCCCGAAAACTCACAGATTCATTGAATGTATAATTCGAAATTTTCTCCAAAATCTGGATGTCTCAGAAATGCAGTCGACGTGATCTCGACTTCCCCCTCTCCTACTAGACAGGACCTCGCAAAATCTATTCGAATGTCACATTTCTCCTTACGTCTGTTTCTGCGAAATTGAAGGAATGTTGCGAACTTACTAAATATGGTAACGATTATTTTCTTTTCCCGATAACCGCGACCAGTGCAGGGGTGTCCCAAAGTTATCGGCGCTAATTCGTGGCAATGTATTTAAAGCTCTGAGCTGAAAATAACCCTTGTTACCGAACTCCTCGCATGCTGCATTTACAAGTGGTTCTTTGCCACGCGGTTATATGACGATAAGTTCCACCAAAATCCGTTGACCACACGTTTATTGGCGCTATGCGCGCAATCCTCGAACTTGGGTAATTAAACCTCGTAATACAATAATAAAATCGACCATTGAGCGAAAGAAACAGTCAATCACAATATTAACAGATATTCTCAGAGGAATGGCACTAAGTGAGAAGGATGAGAGAATTCTGGGAAGATTAAAGCCTGAATTATATCTGCCCGTTAAAGAGAAATCCTAAGCGCAAGGCGCACATTGACGGAGGGAGGAAATGAGCGCACGTCGGTGGCAGTTCCCATGGTTGAAGCTAACGGAGGGATATAAGGCGGAGTCGCGGGGTTGCATAGAATTTCTTCTGGTCTCTCCTATCTATCTATATATATATTGTTATTCTAAAAGATATGTATTATCGATGAGCTGGGTTTTGCTTTTCCTTTCTTTAGCCTTTCTCATGGCTTAGCGCATTCCAATCTCTCCTGGGAACTGGTCGCGTGGAAACCCAAGAAAGTCTGTGGGAAGCAGGTGCATATCATTCAATCTGAGCCCTTTGGTTAATTTTGCGAATTTCAAGGACGAATTGCGAAAAGAGCCAATTTTTGTCGAAGATCCTCTAGTTTGACAATGCATCTTCTTCGGCCTTCGAGTGCTCTGATTTGACGCGAACGAATTAGCTCGCAATAGTCCGGGTAGTCGCACAGTGCACTGTGATGGCCGTGGTCACGACAATAGTAGCAGACTGTAGGTATTTCTTACAAAGGGACCCTCCTGCACATATTAGGTCGAGACACCAAGTGCATCTGCCGGTTGTCTCGATCAACTGTCTCCGAATTGCAGGGTCTCTTACCGCAGTACAAGAATCTGAGTAGTGTGATCCTATGGCTTGGCAAAAGGCGCACCTCATGAAACGTTCTTGGGCTTTATTAATGTGCCCATTATCATATCACCTTGGAGGAGAAACATATTCTTCCTTCAATTGCCGCAGAATTTCCTCAAAGTTATGTAGCGCTTGTTGAGTGCTTCTGAACTTTTGCTCGATTCTGAGTACCATTTGACCCTCTTGTTCGCTCTCAGGGAGACCGTTTGATTCGTCTTCTTGATCAATCTTTCTCATCAATATGTCTTCTTCGGCCTCCTCGTTTTCTGGCTCACCATTATTTTCCTCATCAAATTCTTCGATCTCTGCTTCTGCAATCCTTCAGCGGGTTCATTACCTTCGACGCGACGACGACGACTTCATTTTCGTGAAGTTCTTCTTCCTCTTCGGCGCCTTCTTCTTCTGCGAGTTCTGCGTTCTGAGCTTCGGCAACTTCGTCTTCGTGTTGTTCTTCTTCTTGGGCGTCTTCGTTTTGCGCGAGTTCGGCATCTTCTGTTGCGACATCTTCGTCGGGCTCTTCAACACCTTCCATAAAATCTGCGTTACCCTCGATAATGTCATTCTCGTCGCGACTCCCTAGTGTTTCCTGGTTGTCGCTTTTTTGGCATTGTGGATGGCCATGGTTTAAGCAGGTACTTTTGCTCTTCATTACAGATTCTTTCGATTCCGTAATGAGCTGCTCGAGGTGATCGAGCTTGTGGCGCATGCCCCTCTCAAATGTAAAAATATTTTCGTTTTGTGCGGTTTGGACTTCTAGGCGCACGTTACTGAAGGTGGAATAAAGAGCGTCAAGCGTTTGTAAGTGATCTGAAATGACGTTTTCTATGATGGGTGAATCCATCACCAGGATCACGTCTTCGGTAACCTTCTGTGGATTGCGCAAAAGGGATTCCCAGAATTCTCGTGACATTTTTCTCAAGGCAATGAGTATAGGAGGAAGTGAATGAAAAGTGCGTAAATGTGATCTACAATAAAGGAATTTCAGACGAAGGTGGTCTACTTCTAAGCTCAAAAGGTCAATTTCTGAAACATGTTCCTTAAAGGGATTAAGAGAGACGCATGACCGACGGACTTTTCTTTCCAGAGCAGTAACGGCTTGTGTGCAGGTATAATAATCGAGACAGGATGACATGATCCTAATGTAGAGCTGTTGGGCTTCTAGAGTTTTTCAGTTGTTGTAGTTCGCGTTGCGTGCGATGGAGTTCGTTTTCTACGTTATCAGCGGTTCCCTCGCTCTGAAAACATTAAAGAGATGAAGTTTTCTTGGGGAAGGCGCACCTAGTTGAGTACCTCTCTGGACATGTTCGCTTAGATTTTTTCTTGCCGCACCTACGTGGGTCTGTGGATGTTGGTGGTGAATCTGAAGAAATAAAGCTAATCTATATAATTTCGAAAAGATGTTTGATTATGAGTAGGTTGAGCCCACTTTTTCAACGCTGTATGTTGAGTTGCTTGTTTTTCTGTGAAGGCGTATGCCAGGATGCGTATAGCGATACGAAAGGGTAAAGTAGTCAGACGCCAAATGATGTACAATATCAGCTTAAGGAGGCACATTCCAACAGTAGGGAGGAATATGTAAATCAAGGAGATTGAGAGCGCAACTGCCACAAGGACCATGAGTGAGCTCTTGTACCAATAAAGTAATACGTCAAAAATATGTCCAAAGTCGGGCAACGAAGACTCATGGTAGTTGCTACTGCTGCCCTGTAGTTTAGACTGCAAAGGGTACTGTAGACTGTTGACGTATTTAAGGATACCTTCTAGCTTGAAGGGGTGTTTTAGGGTACCACAAGAAATTGTGCAGTCTAAAAGCTGGCGCGCAGCTCCCAAATGGAATCGTAAAGGTGATAGTGGACCGCCAGGTGCACAAGGAATGACAAAAGTGTGAGAGGCGCACAAACTTCTCCGTGAGTTTCCTTTTGTGATATACACCTCACGTTCGCTATGGCGCCTTTCGCACAATTATGACAGCCATTCAGTAAGGTGCTTTCAATAGTGCAGCCTAGATTTTGTATCTCTAGTAGGATTAGGTCTATCCTTTTTTTTTTAAATTGATGAAAATTTCTGAAGATACAAGGTTCGGGATTTTAGCTGTAAGTGCGGCATTTTTGCCCTTTTTTATTTCCCAAGAGGGACTTTTTACGGGTAGTTTGAGTTCGATGTGACTGAACTCTTCTGCTACGTCCGAACGAGGACATTCACATCGAACTTTTGTTTCAGCAGGTGCACATTTACAATTTTCTGGGAAGGTACAGTTTGGCGTTGCTGCCGCTCGCTGATCTCCGCAAAAAGATTTGGGATTATCTTTCCTGTATAAATGGCTGAATCTGTGCCATCAGTGATGAACTCATTGCTCAACTGTGGCATAGGGGGCATCGTGAGTGATGTCATGGTGATTTGTAGAGATGGAAGATCTATTAGAAAGTTGGGAAGGAGTCCTGCTATGTACCACTCTCAACCAGGGTTTGCGTTGGCGGTTTCAACTAACACTTTAACTTCACCTCCTCTGTCCAGCGTAGGCAACGGAATATTCTATAAATTTTCGTGTTTTTTGGCGTTGCATACAGCCGAAAGAAGAGGTAACCAGAACTGAATGACCCACATAGGCATCTAAAACCTCCACAGGATTCATAGCAATCCGTTCGCCCAGGATATGAGTAACCGATTTGGAGTTCCGGAATAAGGCTAGAGCAATTTATACTGGCCAACTTATCCCCCGAACATGATCCTCGGTAAGGACAACGTTTGCTGTCAATAACGTGAGTCTCAGTAGAACTTGTGAAGTACTCTGTCTCTTCTTCACAACGTAAATACGTAGGCTGCCTTTTATATTTCGGGATTTGAGAACAGGAACAACTGCTATTTATTGAAAATCGCTTGACTGCTTTTCAAAATTCTCCACATTAGATCTATACGCTTTTGTATGGGCTCGAACCAATTTCCGAAGCACTTTTGCCACTCTGATGTAGGTAACTCTAAAACATGGATTCTGAACTCATCAACGGCTTCTTCGGGTGTCGAAAAAAGTTGTCCTCTCATTTTATTTCTTACGTACTTGATGAGAAGAAGTCACCCAGGGACTACATGGCTTATGACCTGCCAAAACGTTGTTTTGAGTGCTCAAAAATGCTTGTTTGAGCTGATGTGTGGGAGCTCGCATTGACGTGGCGTGGGATCCAACGCCAACAAACTTTTTTACAGTCAAATGTTCATGCAAAAGTGAATGTAAGCTAGCCCCACTAATGCTTAAGGTTGCCTCAATCTCACGATAGGTTACATGACGATCTCGCAGTATTAGTT